AATGCCTTCCCCCCTGCCGTTCCTGGTATCACTGCTCATGTATCTGTTGATCATGTCCTGCTGTGAATAAATCCTCCCTCCCTCCAGTTATACACGTGTGGACTTCGCTTTCTCGGGGCACCTGAGGTGGGGCAGGCGGCTTCCCCTCCTTGGGGTGGACGGCTGGACAGACCGGTTTGGAATGAGGGGGTGAGGGAAAGGCCAGCCCCCAGTGCCTGTGGCTTGGCAGGACTGGCACAGAAAGCCGTGCTCCCGGTTCCCGATGTGGGCGAGGGCAGGGAGAGGCCTGGACCTGTCACCAGAGGCCCTGGGCAAAGTCCTGGCCCATCCTCCACACGTGGGTGCTGGGCCCTTTTCCTACTGCATGGAGCCCCTGCCCTCACTGGGCCGCAGGCACAGATGCAGCCAGGCTTCCCACACAGGTAACGCGCCTGTCCCCTCACTCCCAGCAAGTCTGTCTCCCCCCACCCCCACCCCTACCCGGCTGGCTGGTGGACAATGGAATTTGGGAGCCCACACCCAGCACACGGATGACACTGAGGCCAAGTGAAGGCAATTAAATAACGTTTATTTCATTAGAGAACAAAATCAGCAGCATCACAGCCTGAGCCCTAACCCATCCCAGCCCCTCAGCCCCCACGCTTCTGCCTAATGTCGATAATGGGGGCTGCGGGATCTGGATCTTGAGCGCCTGGGAAGAAAAAGGGAGGGGCCCGTGAGGGCTAGGCAGAGCAGGGGAGCCCCGTGCATGTGTGTACATGTATACACACGCACCAACACACTTGGGGATCACTTGGGCTTCAGCAGCTGCAAAGGAGGGAGGTAGCCCTACAACTGGAGGGTGCAGGGTGGAAATGGATGAATCCAACCCAGCCAGACCTCCCGCACAGGACAACTGGGATTTCCCAGGGAGCTGGTCCGGCTTACCTTCGGGAAGAGCTGTACTCTCGACCTAGAAAGGAAGGAGGAGGTGAGGACAAAGCAGATGCCCAGGGCCAGGAACAGGCCCCAGGGCTGGACTCCTGGTCTCACCTTCCGCTGATGCTACACCAGCAGGTCCACTGCTGGGACTACAACCTGTGCCGCCCACCCACACCAATGTGCATTTCCTCCCATCCTGCAATTCCCTTGTGACTGAAGCAACACTGTATGCCTGCCTGTGTGCACGCACACACGCATCTTAAGGTTTTAACATGTGGAAACGTTTTTTTATAATCAGTTTTGACATCACTTCTCTTTTTAAATATATTTTTATTGATTTCAGAGAGGAAGGAAAGGGAGAGATAGAAACATCAATGATGAGAGAGAATCATTACTGGCTGCCCCTGCTTGCCCCCCACTGAGGCTCAAGCCCGCAACCCAGGCATGTGCCCTGACCTGGAATCAAACCGTGACCTCCTGGTTCATAGGTTGACGTTCAACCACTGAGCCATCCGGGTCAGACCACTTCTTTTTGTTCGTTTTTGTTAATCCTCATGTGAGGATATTTTTCCATTGATTTTTAGGGAGAGTGGAAGAGAAAGGGAAAGACCAAGAGAAGCATCGATGTAAGAGAAACACATCAACTGGTTGCCTCCTGCAGGAGCCCTGACCAGGGCCAGCTAAGGAGGAGCCTGCAACGTGCCTGTGACGGTACCCGTGACCGGAATCGAACCCGGGACCTTTTGGTCCGCAGGCTCTATCCGCTGAGACAATCTGCTTCTCTTATTTAATGCCCCCGAGCCTGCAGCCCAGATCTCCCGGCCCAGTGACCATGGGACACTCACTGTAACGGGGGGAAGGCGAGCGGCTCTGCCGACTGTACTGGCGTTCCCATTCTTCTCTCTCCTTCTCTCGACGTTCCCGTTCCCTGCAGGGGGGAGGGGAGGCAACCCAGGGAGGGGTGAGTATGCTGCCCAGAACACTGAACTTAGGGCAAGTGCTTCATATCCTAGTCCCAGTGGAAGAACAACCATCCCTTCTTGGAAAATGAGGACACAGAGTCAGGGGATGCTTGCTAGGCAGAGCTCGGACTCCCACCCTAGTCAGCCTTGCTATGAAAGGCTCGCTGAACAAACAGAAAGGAGGGCCGCCTAGTTAAATCATGTCCTGTCCCACTCCACGCAGTCACAGAGCTCAGGGACTTACATGCTAAACGCTTAATTGGTTTTCAACAGAATGACTGGGATTTGCAATCCTAAGGGCGACATTTACCGGGCACCTTCTCCTGGCTGAGGTGGGACAACTATTCCATCCCTATTTAAGTAGCTGAGCAAATTAAGACTCAAACAAAAGAAAGGCCCATAGCTGGTGGACGAGGCAGGATCAGAACCCAGGTCTGACGGATGAAGCTGAGTCCTTCGGCATTCTGCCTCCTAACGGAAGCACACAGCATCCTTGAAAACCCAACACACAAGGGGCATGTAATAGTGATGTTAACGATGAAGACTAACTGCAGTGGGACTGGGCATCGGACCTTCCTATGTGCCAGGCACCACACTGGGAGCCTCAGAGTAGGACCCTGCCAAGGCACCAAGGCAGGGGCATTAGCACATCTGTCTCACAGAGGAAGGAGTCCTGGCTCAGAGGGGGTCAAGTTACTTGTCCAAGGTCCACAGCAAATATAGACTGGAACCAGAACTACTGATAGGCAACAAGGTCCTGCCACTGACTGATGTCCCTCCTTGCTAATACGGAACACTACGGCCTCCAGTGT